CGCCGTTTGGCGCCTCGGCAGCGCATCAGGGCTTCAGAGGGCTTCAGAGCTTCAGCGCTTTTTTGAAGTAAATTTTAAGTTTTTTTTTCCAATCAACATGACAAAAATTTAAGATAGTCAAAGCGGCTTTTTTTTTTAGATATACTAGTAGTAAAACGTTAAAAAAAGCAAAACTCGGAGCGATGAAAATGACACGACGCGTCCGGGATTCGAACCTGTTCCCCGGCCGCTTCGCCGCTCCGCCCCGCTTCAAAGGGACACACAACGGCACTCTAATTACCGCCCCGTGGTTGGTGGCCGTGGTGGCCGCCGTGGTGCCCACCATGGTGTCCGCTTTGTGCCATGGTGCCGGCCGTCCTTCCAGTGTGTGTGTGTTTGTGTGTGTGTGTCCTGACGGTGTCCTGCGCGTTCCCGTTGCTCCCCTGATTTATATTAGAGGAGCCAGCCGCTCTGTACGCAGCGCCGGCACCACGGGGACGTTCACCTCATCAACCACCTTATTTTATTTATTTTTTTAACAGCTTTTAGAAACTCCTTTTTTTAAAAAGTAGTTATGCATGGCGCAGAAGAAGAAGGCATGGGCTAGGCCAAGGGCTAGGTCGCAGCGTGCTTCGGTATTGTTTGCGTTCGAACGGAAGGCGGTGCAGGCAGCATTCCCTGCTGGCTCCTCTTTAAACAGTAACTCGTCTCGCGGAAAAAAGGGAAAAGGGCGGCGGCGGCGCTCTGCATATTGTTCGGTACACCGCGACAAAAAAGGGGGGGGGACATGGTGCGTGGTTCTTTTTACAGTGTACCCCCAGGCCGAACTGCACCGAACTGACACCCAAGCGGCCCGCCGAGCGCACTCGTCTCTCATTGTTATTCGAGCAATCCGGTGTGATTGTTAACGCCCCGCTGTCGGGCACACTGTCGGGGTGCGTGCTGTCCTCGCCTAACGGTCGTCGTCAAAACGCTGCCCGATCTGCATAATGGGACTTAAGGCCTGTTTTGTTCTGCCCGGCGCACTATTTCAGGATAAAGATCGCACTGCCTTGGCGCCTTGGCACTGCCGCCGCCGGGTGGGTCGGTGGATCTCCCCGATGCACTGGATATGCGCCTTGCGTGCAACGCCGTCGTGAACCTCTCAGTGAGTGTGTGTGCGTGCGTAAGTTCGCCGCGTAGTCTACCTCAGGGAAGGGGAGATCCTTCGCTAATACCTCCCGGATTTGTTTGTCCGGCGTCACTTCCAGGCCCGAGCCGTCGCGGACGCGGAGCCAAGGTGTCGGCAAGGGGGGCTGACTCTCCGAACCGGGTACGAAGTATTAAATATTATAGGCATTATAGAGTATTATAGGTATTATTCCGAAATTATATTTGGATAATTGTGTCGTTTAAGTGTTTTCGTGTACCAAGGGGTTTACAAAATACGGAAGTTAGTTGAAATCACGGTCCGGCTTGCGCTCTGAGACTCAAATACTACCGCGCATCTTAGAGCTCAGCACCTAGTCCATCAGTCTTAGCGCCATTCCACTTTAACGTTTCGTCTGGGAATCGCTGAACGCTTATTCACCACATTTTACAATTTCCATTTAAAACCGGAACTGCACTAAACGTGCGGCATTTTTTGTATTTGGATTATAGTATTGGTATTATACAAGTATAGGGCTGTACAGTATAGGTCACCCCTGGTGGGGTGCAGCGGCCTCGCGGCTCCGCGGATTACACATTGCGGTTCGCAGCGGCGTGTTATTGCGCTGAAATAATGAAAACTTGATGACGTCGCGGAGGGCGTGGTGCAAGGCGTGGTGTGAGCCGGCCGCGCTGGCCGCGACGGGCAGGCCGACTTGGCTGAGGCAGCTGACGCAGCGAGCGATGACCCGCCGCCAGCGCCCAGCACGCCCAGACGCGACCCTGTGATGACCGTGGTGGTACACTCGGAACGAAAAGCCTCCACTCGAGATGGGGCCGCGTGCTTCTGGCTCGTGCCAAAGTCGATTTGTTTAAATATCTGAAAGTTGAAAACGGGATGAAAATTGAGCAGAATTAGTAAATTTATTTCTGGGATGCGCACGTCATTGGGCGAAAATCTGTGCGCGTGTAAACATATTCACTCATTTTGTTGAGCCCATTCTGTTGTTCTTCTTTTTTTCGCGTGGGAGGATTGTGCGGCCAGTGCGTTATCAACACTTACCCGCCGCAATCACCTGCCGCAAACGCTTTTATGTATTCATCGAAACTTTCCTCTCGCTCCCAATTTTGAGCTAACGACCCCGCCTATCGGCCATCTCCCTTCCGGTTTCCAGCGCCGCCGTTTCCGCGCCTGGACTTCCAGTGAACGTGACGCAACTATTGAACAGTTGAACGCACCGGCCGGCCGGTCGGTCTGTGACACGCCGATTTGAAGCAATCACGGTGCAGTGCAGGCACGGTGCAGGCACGTGGTGGTTACGAGCGGCCCGGTGCAGCCCTGCCGAGCGAAAGGCTTCTGTCTGTCTCTCTCGCGCCCCCGCGGGACGCGCCGGGAGTGCGACAGAGACGGAGCGACGTGGCGGCCGGAACCCTTGCCTCGCTTCGATGAGTTGAACCTGTAATTAAAGCAGGCAGGGCCGAAGGGGTGAAGTGAACCAGAGTCCTTCTCTTTCACTGTGGAGATCTAAACGTGAGTGGGAAATTCTCATGCATTCTGGCGCCCAGGCCCCATAATGAACGCATGCCGCCTCGTATTTACAAAAAAAAGAAGCCCTAAAAAAACTTGTACTGTTTATTATTCACGATGGCGTCACGGCCCCCGCCCTTCTTACCTCACGCAATGACGACCGATGGGGCCGATGGTGATGCATTGCTCGAAATGACTGTTCTCCGGCGATGCTCGGTTTCGTACCGCGTCATCGCCCCCTTTTGCCTGCAGCACTCTTTCTCTCTCACACACACATGCTCTCACACTGAAAGACACACACACACACACACACACTGGCACATGGAACGTGGCCCGGGCAGTGCAACTCGGCTCAACCCTTTGGCAGCCTCTGGGCCGCGGCGGCCTGCTCACCATAATCACCGCCTTGGAGGAGTGATCCTCCTTCTTATTTTCGGCGGACTTTAATGAGTTGCGAGAAGGGGCGCTAATGTTTGTAATTGGCTCCCTTCGCCATATCGCCCTCATCGATGAATGGCTGGCTGGCTTGTTTGTTTTTACATTGTGTGTTTCTTTTTCTTTTTTCATCCATTTCTTTCTTTTGCCGCTCTCCCGCCGCCGTCGCGTCCATCGGCCTGCTCTTCCTCACACACACACACACACACACACACACACACACACACACACCACACACACACACACACACACAACACACACACTGGCGCGGCGCTCGCCATCGAAGCACTAGAGCACTCGGCGTGGATGCAATTTGTTTGATGTGCTATCCCGGCCGCCACGTTGTCGTGTGTGACGTTTGCTGAGTATGCAAATGACCGTGCAGCGGCCTGCCAGCCAATGGACAGCCTAGCGGACCGATTCCGAGGAGTCGTGTCGCTCCGTCTCTCTCGCACTCATGGGTCGTGCCGTGTCGGTGCGAGGGAGACGGAGCGCTCTGGCGTCCACTCCGTCGATGCGCGGCCAAATTCGGCGATAAAAACGTTAACGCGCTGGCGGCGCTGGCGGAGCACCAACGCGGCGTGGCGCCGTGCTTCTCGGTTCTATTTTCGTTTCGCCGACGCACTGCTAAACGGTCGGGCGCCGTTCGGGATCGCGGCGAACGACGAGTGACTGTCAAACGGAACGCATTCGTATTGCGATTGGCGTTCGGTCCGTGGGAACGCGCGGCTCGGCACGGCCCGGCCGCTAATCCCTGCGGGCCGGGCTGCAGCAGGGCGACGCGGCCACGCGGCCACGCACAGCGTTTTCGTGTCTCCGTCTCTCTCGCACGCGTGGGGTGGGCCGTGGAGGTGCGAGAGAGAAGGACGGAGAGACGAAATGCTGCGTGCGAATGGATGCAAGCCAACGGCGGTCCAAAGGCGGCCCGCCCCGCCCCGCCCCGCCCGCCTCGAGTGGGCGGATTATTGTAAGGTTATGCGCAGGGATTGACTCATAAGCTGAACCCGCTGCGACTTGGGCGGTGGCGTCCGGACTACACTGCGAAAAGTGGAGCGCGACCGAGGCAAGAGTCCACTGTGGGAATAAAAAAAAATAAGAGGAAGCGATCCGGGATCGAACCCGCGTCGCACGGGCGAGGTTCACGAAACTATAACCGCTCGGCTATCGCGACCGTGTGTACAGTTTCGCTGTCATGCCCGTCGTGGTGGCTACGTTCCCGCGCTTGCCTTCAGGTCGTTGAGGTCGGTCCGGCCCGGGACTCCAAATCCATTCTCTTCTCCCCTTGCCCTGCGGTTTTACACGGTCTGACAGCGCACCGTGCGCCGCCACGCCACGCCACTGCGAGGACTGGAAGGACTCGACGGCGACAAAGACGCACTGCATGGCCTGGGCTGGGCTGGCCGTGAAAACGTAATGAACCCGGCTGGGTGGTCTGCGGGCACCGCCGAGGGCACCGCGGCCCCGCGACAGTGCAGGACGCCGTCCTCGGGACACTGCCCTCGAGACGCCGTCCCCGGGACACTCCGTGCACTCCGTCGAGGCGCACTCCAAGCGGGCCGGTTCTCGTACTACCTCGCGTTGAGGTCTCCGTCGTCACGGGTCCTTTGTCGCCAACCAACCACGCCGGCGCGCGCGTCGCACAGTGGGCCAGAAGGGAGGCGGCCAAAACTCTAGAGGCGTTTTAAGCTCCAGAGTCGCTATACAGGACTCGAACTGAACGAGTGACCCCACCAATGGATTCCTCGTTCGGAGAGCAACCCATTGGTGGGGTCACACGCTCGGTTCGAGTCCCATTTAGCGACTCTGGAGCTCAAAACGCGTCTAGAGTTTTGGCCGCCTCCACCGGTCTTCTGACCCACTGTGCGTCGTCGCCCTCTAATGCACAGATCGTCGGCCGGCCACTAAGTTTACCTCTTCTTTCTGTTTGCAGGGCGGTTGCTGTTCACGCGTTCAACCCGAGGTAAGCCGAGACACAATTACCCGTTTTTACGGCGCGGGGGTAATTGACGCTAGTAAGCAGCCCTTGGACGGGCCGTTTGGCGTTCGACCTTGCTCGACCAGCCGGCCCTGTGGCCCTGTGGCCCTCCGCGGTGTACAGTGTACTTGTTAACAGCCGGCCGTTATCCGCGATGCACCTGTATCGCTAACGACGCCACTTCCGTTTCCTCTGCGTGTCTCTCCCTCGCACCCGCGGGCCGGCCTGTGCGGGTGCGAGGGAGACAGAGCGTGTACAGTTCGGAGTCACTGTGCGCTGCGCGCGCCGCGCTTCGGAAAGCGTTCTCGAGAGGCTCCACCGCGGGGGGAGCGAGTCCTGTGCAGTCCTGTGCAGTCAGGGTCGTTTTCTCGGCACCGCTCCGCGCCGCTCTGCGCCGCTCTGCGCTCTGATTGGCGTAGGCGTCGCATGTCTCCGATTCCCACCGCACTTTGCATGTTCGTCATATTGCATTGCGGTACTCCCATTGTATTGCCTCGTTACGGTCGGGACGGGGCGGGGTGGGGTGGGGCGGGGCGGGGCGGAGCGGGGCGGAGCGGGGCGGGCGGGGCACTCGAGTTCACTGTCACACGCGGCGGCGCGCGGCGGTCCGAAACTAGCCTCATTTTATGGACGAGCAGGGCGGTGCTGTGCTGGCGGTGCTGGCGGTGCAGGCGCGGCCAGATGGGCAGCCTCTTGACGCAAGGCTGCTGCAACGGTGGGCTGGTCCCGCGCCTGGCGTGGCACGGCACGGCACGGCACGGCGTGGCACAAGGACCCCGAAAAGGGGAGACCGACGGCGTTGCTCCATTTTTATTGTGTGCATCCCGCATGCCAACTCACCGTGTGGCGCAGCGCGCAGCAATGACTCCGTAGAGGAGGAAGCGCCTGCCAGTGTAGGCAACCGACGCACGCGTGTTCGGCGGGTCGGCCTACCCTGAGGTTCGCAGGCGCTCCGCCTGGCACCTCTTATCAAGTCGGCAATAGTTACGAACGCAATTTGAACGAAGAAAAATAAACCAGCACGCGGGTTTGAACCAAGGACCTGGCTATCGCGGAGTGGCGCATTAGTGCACGTGGCTGCGGTGGTTGACTGCCCCGTTCAAGCGGCCGCAGCGGGGCAGTGCCAAACCACACGGCAGATGCCTGGCAGCGTCTGAAGTAGGGCGGCTGAAAGCTCGGAGCAGGCCTTCAGCGTCCACGTCGTCCACGTCGTCGTCTGCGTCCGCCACCGCGGAACTGTGTGCAGCAGCACCGCCGTAATCCTCTTAACTTTCCCTGGGCAAGGCTTGCTTTTGCATGGTGCCGCTGGTGCCGCCCTATGCAGTGCAGGCCGCAGTGCAGGCTGCAGGCCGCGGGCTGCGGGACGGACCCTAGGCAGGGCCGTCCCCGCCAGGTCCCCCCGGGTCCGAGTTAGCTCCCTGATGTGTAATCCCTTGCAAGGAAACTAACTGCCACCGCCACACGTCGCGGCGTCGCGCTGTCGCCTTTCGAAACGGCTCGCCCTTCCGCGTCGCAATTAGACTCGTTTATTCCGCGTCCTGCCCGACGAAGAAGCGGCGGCCCGCCAGGCCGGCAGGCCGTCAGCGCGTCCCGGACCTTGGGCCTTGCACCGAGGGGAAGGCCGGTGCAAGCGGCCAAAACTCTAGACGCGTTTTGAGCTCCAAAGTCGCTAAACGGGACTCGAACCGAACGTGTAACCTCACCAATCGATTGCTCTCCGCACGAGGAATCCGTTGGTGGGGTCACACGCTCGGTTCGCGTTCTGCGCAGCGACTCTGCGGGGCTCAAAACGCGTCTAGAGTTTTGGCCGCCTCCCTGGCCCACTGTGTGACGCCGTGACGCCGCGCTGACCCAGACACCTGTCGAACTCGAACGAGGCCTAGGCGGTCATCGGGAGCTCCGTTCCGTTACCATCCTCGGGATCCTCATTACAGTAATGACGGTCATTTTCGTCCTTTGTCTGCCGGCCGTGGCAGGCCGGGCAGGCCGGGCAGGCCGTGGCATCAAGCCGGGCAGGACGGCCGTGCCATGTGATGTAATGCTAACGGTAGCGGCCGCGCCCAGTGTCAGGCCTTCGGGCCTTCAGGCCTTCGGCCGCTGCCGCGCGGTATGTCTCTGTGCCTCCGTCGGCCTCCGTGCCGTGCGTCCGTGTCGTGCCGCTCCATCAAGGAATCGACGCGCTGCTCCAGAGCGCACACGCCGCCAGCGAGGGCACCGCAAAAAAACTGGCTCTGCAAAGTAAAAGTCATTTTTCTTTAAATTAGCAAAATTCACTTTTGTTGTTGCATGATATCGTATCGACTTCGATACATCGTGATATCGCACAGCCGCGTACCGTGCGCGTGAAACTGTACCGGCGATTGGATTCGGTAAACTGGCCGGTATTGCCTTTCGTCCGTTGGCTTGTCCGCTGGTCCGTCCGGCGTTAGTCACGCTGCTTTCTAACGACACGTGGGTGGAGGTAACGAGGAGAAACGTTTTGTTATTAGCAACACGTCCACCGCGCCATTTTTCTTGTTACGCTCGGAGCTTCGGGACGCGATTACGCGGTTCGACGCAGTCGGTATGCGATCACCGCCACCCTCGGCCGCTGGCCGCCCTGCACTCGAAACCCTGAACGCGCAAACGCCGCGGAGCTTGCGGCATTACCGGCCCAACTACCGCACGGGACCGGTCAGCCGTTCGCACTTCTGTGCGCCGGCTCGGTGGCTCAGTTGGTTCCGACGCCGACTACGAAGGCTTCCACTGCCCTCCGGCCGAGGTTCAACTCCCCTTCACGTCACCCTCAATTTTTTTTTGTCGGTATTTTTCACGTATACTTTTGATAATTTGGACTGGCCGTCGCGCAAACCGCCGCCGCCAGTGATGCGAAAAAAAAATACTCGTCGCTGATTGGCTCGAGAGGGAGAGTGTGCCGCCTGACTGACTCGGGTGGGTCCACTTGAAAAATGAACCGAGCCGCCAACAGGGACCGAGTCAGAGCCTCGGAGCCGCCGCCGCCGCCGCCACGGCGCGCCGTGTGACGTGTACGTGCCCGCGTGTGTGACGTGTGTGAGTCAGTGAGTGTCCGTGTGTGTGTGCCGCTTCACTTTGCCACTCTCACTTGAAGAGGCTGCGGTGCCCTGTGGTGCCCTGCGGCCGCGCGAAGTTGGACCAATCGCGTCGCCGCGTCACGCCGCCGGGACATGAACCGCCCGCGGCTCTGCCTCGCTCTGTCGCTCTGTCTCTCTCGCACCCCGTACGGCACGCCCTCGAGTGCGAGAGAGACGGCGCACGGCCCGGCTCGGCAAATAATAAGGCAGGCGGACAGCGCGCGGCCCGCCCGCTATACGCACCGAAAAAAAACGGCGTCACGTCGCACAGCGCAGCGGACGGAGATTAAAAACAAAAACAAAGACTTTTTTTGTTTGTCGAGGTGTGCCGCGGATAGGACGAGAAATGTTCGACGTCACTGTCATAGCAAATACGGCGACGAACGCGCTGGAAGCTGCAAGTCGACTTGCCGGGCCTCCTCGCCGTCGTCCTCGTCCTGAGGGTCAGAGCTTGGCGTTGCCGCGCGCATATGGGCCCGGGGCCCCGGGCAGCAGCCTGAGTCCGAGAGTCCTTTCCGTCGCTCTGTCTCCCTCGCGCTCGCAGGGGACGCCCCACGTGCGCGCGAGAAAGACAGAGCGACGGAAACGACTCTCAGTCTGCAGGCCCGAGGACGGGGCGCGGTGCCCTGGCGGTGCCTGTCTACTTGCTCCTCTCCCGGCATGAGTCATGGGTGGAGGCGGCCCTCCCCGCCGCGGCCCTGTGGCGGTGGCAGCCTGCCTGTGGCGGCCTGTGGAGGCCTGCCTGTGGCCCTCTACGGGGGTCGGGGACCCTGTTCGGACCGTATGGGAAGGGGTTTGCGGCGAGGAGCAGCAGCTGCCTCTCCCACACACACACGCTCACACACACACACACACACACACACACACACACACACACACACACACACACACACACACACACACACTTACAGAGGCGCGCTGCAACCGCTTTGTGGCGGGACTTTGAAGCGTGAAGGACCTACTTCGCCTGCCTGCGACGTGTCGCACAGTGTGTTGCTTGTTGTTGGCGTGGCGGTGCCGTGGCGGTGCCGTGGCTCGGCTCGGCGCGAGGTGGGGGCGCTGAATAGGCAAACCATGTCACTTTCCTCGGCGTGTTCTGCGAGCGGGGCGAGCGAGGCGGTCTGGAGCCGTCTTATTTGCAGACGCATTTCCGCGAACGTATTCCAAACAGCCGACTAATCTATTGGGGGAAGACGGAGAGGAAAATAAACTCGACGGTGCGGCTTTTGTGCCCCTCGAGCCAGCTGCCGCTGTTGGCTATGGCGGCAAAGTCTCTTTTCACTCGAAAAAAGGGAGAGCGACAAAAAACAGTGAATAAAAGAAGAAGAAACAAGAAATAGCGTGCGCGTGTTTTGTTCCTTTTGTATCGACGGGAAAAGCAGAGGTGCAGAGAGGTGCATAATCAAACGAAAGCCGAAAGTGAGCAACGCCCCTGCGGCCCAAGGCGGCCAGGGCGGCCGAGGCACCTGTCGCGGACCGGACCTCACTCAACACGAGATGCGCATGACGTGTGTGACGCCTGTCTCTCTCGCGCTCGTGAGGCGTCCCGAGCGGGCGCGAGCGAGACGGAGGGTCAGTGTTCGGGCCCGGCGTGCTGGCGGACCCTCAAAGGGCCGAACTGGCCTGCGGGAAAGAAAAGGAGAGTTATGGAAGCCCTTTTGATTCGGACCCTCGAAGGTTACGGCACGCAGCACTGCGGCAGCAGCCCTGAGACTTGCGGAGCGCGGAGGCTGGCCCTGCTCTGCCCTGCACCTGTCGGACCGGACTGGCCGGCCAGTCGCGAGGCCCGCAGCCCGCAAGGGCGAGCCCGTTGCCGAAAAGAATTTATCGAGTGTTTGTGAAAAGTCACCTCGCGCCAGAAGCTTTATTGAGCCAAGTCCGACCACCAGGGCC